GCAAGCAATCGATAAACCTTTCCCTGCAGATAAAAATTGTTTGTGATATTCGCCACACCATGATTAATATCGGCAATCAAGGGAACACTGTTCACTTTGAATGGATCCCCGGTCACTGCGGTATACCAGGAAATGAAAAGGCTGATCGGATTGCTAAAAACACGACCAAGAAAAACAATATTGATCTTTCCATCCCTTTATCGATTAATGAATTTAAACACACTCTTAAAGAAAATCTTTAAAATAATTGGAATAAATTAATCCCAAAAATACCAACAATATTTACAATGATGTCTCCTTCTTGTTCCCAAACTGGACTATGAATCGTGTCGAAGAAGTAGCCATACACCGGTTATGACTAGGTACATGCAAGGATCTTAACAATTTCCTTCATAAGATTGGTGAACACCCAAATGGTTTCTGTGATATCTCTGGATGTGTTGATAATGAACATATTCTCCTTACCTGTCGAAGATATGTTTATAACAATGTTGAGACTTTGTGAACAAGTTTCAAGAAAAGTGTAGTAGTCAATGAGTCAAACACCAGATGTTCACCAAGGCCACTTTACTCATTGATAAAACTTTGTTAGCTACTTGGAATGTGGGGGGCGGAGGCTAGTGCACCCACAACTTTCCTTTTTTCATGGAATAATATTTCTTTGAAATGAAGGGGTGGAACTTTTACAAGAAATTGATATTAGTCATTAATTTAGAGCAGGGTGATGTAACCTTACTGCATAATTGTGACTTATATTCAGTGACTATTGTCTACAATTGTCTACAACTGACACCTTTTGTGGCGGACCAGAAGACTGGCCTGATCGGAGACGGAATTGACCTGGCCTAACCCCACAAATATATTTATTTAACCTTACGCAAGAATGAGCGGCTATCCAAACGCAAGGGGGGATATCAGTTAACGAATGGTGGACTTTGCCTTAGGGGCTGTTCGTTTGGTGGAAGTTTACCACCGCTCTGTGATTAATTAATTGCTTCCGATGTCAATAAAGATTACAATAAATGTCAATAAGTGATTCAGGACTTAACTTAATCTCACGGTGACCAGTGATTTCTACGGCAATTATATGATTGGTTTATTCAATGTCAGTGCTCAGTTAGCCGTTATATACAACAATTAATTATACACAAAATTATCCTCACAGGGAGGTAGTCCTACGTGGTCAACTGCACCACGAACGTGATTAATCAGCCTTATCCTTAACCTACACCAGGGTAACCCTCACGGTGATCGGGGTGACCTTCAAGGCGATCAGGGTACCCCTCACAATAACCAGGTAACCCTCAAGTTTATATAAATAACCTACCGATGGCTTATAACCGATAAGTCTTGACCACACAAGCAAATACAATCCTTGCAATTATACAACACTACAGGGTAGACTTATATAACAGTAATTTCTACTGCCTTACGAAGCAACACAGTTCCCAAACTACAAAGTTCAAGGTGACATAAATAACCCTCACCCACTTCAAGTTATTACGAAATAACACAGGTAAGTTGATTAAGAAGGCGATTATAATAGTCCTCACCAGACTGTAACGGAAACCTGCACCCAGTAAACCTCAACGAGGAAAGCAAGCTCCCAGACCAGGACCGCAACCAACCATCGCTATGCCAACAAGCATGGAACAACGGCACACAATCCTTCTAGTCTAAGCTTCGCTAATTCCCCAATTAACTGGTTCACACGGGTTCCCTAACCCTATAATCCACCACTTCTTAAATAAACTAAAAATCCCCCAATCTACAAAGAGATCGATATAATCGGCAGCTCCGGCAACTGAGAACAAGCACCACACTAACTGACCGCACCAGGTACACTTGAGGTAGATCCCCAACAACCAGCGGTCGTACGTCAGATTTACACTCGCAACTCAGAAGAAAACACAACTCCACAGAGCTCTGGTTAGCACGCTACCATCTTGAGAAGTCCCGGCAACCCACGCAGTCAGCGCCAAGACGTAAGGTAATGCGCGCCTCTGATTGGTTGCCGCGCGCATGTTTATTTAATGCATTATTTAGACGCGCCTGAATTATTAATGACCCAGACTAAACAAAAGTCTGCGCAGCTACCCTGTTTCGCCACACTTTGTTAATACAGTACATTTGTAGAGTACAAAAACCCTGAAAGTGTGTTTAGAAATCGAGTTGGAACTTTGCGAGCAGAGAGCTAAAGTCTGATGACACCAGTTTCGATGCTTTGAGCCTGTGAAGTGTTTTCGTGTTGAAAAAATCAACCAACTTCTGGTTGTCAACAAAGACTTCTTTTAAGTCTGAATTGTCCGTTCAATTGGGCCAGGACAATTGCCTCGAGTTCGGTTACTGAGACTCAAAATTCAGCGCTACTAAAAACATCTCGCGACAAGTTAAGGAGTCGAGATTGTTACAATGTTACACAAAGACAAATCCTCAAAAAATCGCTTACCCTGTCTGAAATACATACAAATCTTCCCCAAATTCTTGGGGGAAAAAACAGAGCGTTCACCATATTATTAAATATATTCATAATTGTAATATCGATGTATAATTCTTCTGATGCAACCTGAGGTTTTGCTTGATATTGCGTAAAGTCTCGAGAAGGGGCGCTGTAAGTGGTTGGCTGGACATGGTGTCATACTTCTTTACCTGGATGTGTTGCGGGCCTGCAAATCAGCCGAGCAGGGCCCGGGCCCTTAAACTGCACGGGACACGGCCTGACCTCGCAGGACACTGTGACACCTTGTGTCTGGAGGATCACGAGCTCTCCCCCCCCCCCTTCTGCTATTTTCCTGTCTCCCCTCGGTCGTCCATATAACAGAGCTTCTACGTCGAACTCACGCTGCACACGAATACAAATAGTAGTAACTAGTACTATATATGACATGACAGGCCCTGTATGTGATGCATGTCTAAGCTCATGGCATAAAGGGCATTTATGTCGCCGTAAGTAGTGGGGGGGGCAATCCAGTACACTTTTGACCTTTCCTGAAAAATCCATAATGGTCACATTAATATGCATAAGTATGAAATATGAAATAAGAGTGATGTATAGGATGAGGGGGGGTGTTAGAAATGACAGACCTTGTGTATGGTGTGGGTGACCCGTATGAATATCGCTTGGGAGGGAGGTATAAGAAGAATGGCCTAAAGATATAAGATATGATAGTTATGAAAATTGATGAATTGTCGGTGATTTCATAAACGTAATGTGTGTCCTTGGTCGGTGGTTCGACGGTATCCCCGCAAAGAAGTGTGAAGAGCCAATAATGGGTTGGATAATCCTATTGTGTGAGCGGAGTAGCCTTGATGAGTGTTGGCCCCGCGGTGTCTTGGAGGAGTCCGTGGGAAAGGTGGATCCTATTGTCGGTGGAGTATCTTTGGGCGCGTGGTCGTGTGAGGTCCATTATGAATGGAAGAAAGGGTTGAAAGTGGTAGCGCCCTGCAGTAATGGGGAATGCCAAATGAGCATGTATGGGATCGTAAGGGACGGAGGCGGTGCCCTCTGTGTGTGCGCGAGGTGAGGCGGAGCTCGCTGGCGACGGATTATCTATATTTTTTAATGTTTAATTTTTTATGTTTGACCTTGGTTTATATTTTACTAACTTTGTTATAAGCTTTAACTTTAGTTTTTATTATCTATTTTAATTCCCCAGGGCCCCATGGAAGACCACAGAAATGTGAATGGGTATCCCTGGTAAAATAAAGATAATAATAATATGTAGAGATGATGTTATTGTCTATTTTTAACCATTTTTAACCGACGAAACGAGATAAAAGCGGGTGAAAATCTGCGTTTATACAATGCCGAGCGCAATCTAAGCTGTGCAACATGAATATCTATCAAGAAATACAAATTTGTCAAACGTACGAAGAGATAGGCTTTCTCTTGGCTACCGTTGGACTCAATGACGACGAGAGGGAGTACGCTCTTCACAGACTGTGCAAGTTAAAAACTATGTCATCTACCAGAAAACTCCAACGCTCAGATACGCCTCCGTTAGAGGTTCAAACGCAGAATTGTTTCCCGCGATTAAATCATTTGGCCCGTATGGTATCGGAGTCTCAGTTAAGCCAACTCGCCTCTAATCTTATAAAGGAGCGTGATGACGTCGGACGTAAACCTTGGGAAAAGCTCGTTTCTTTTCTCGGATTATCGGAAGCAGATATTTACAAACATAAGGTAGAAAACCAGTATAATCCGTGGGGACAGTGTTTTTACGCGCTTGTGCAGTGGTTTCATCGTACCCATAAACAGGCTACTATCGAAAAAATCATAATGGGTTGTCAGCAATGCAACATAACGCACTGCGCATATGAATTTTTGTGTCCAGAGTAACAATGAAAACAAACAATAGTCGAGATGATTTCAAAGAGACTTTAACCTTGATGATTTTACGATCTACTTTTGGAGATGATGTCACTTTCTATTTTGGAAGATGTAGTCATCTACTATATTTAACTGCGGCGTTGCGTAAGATTGTGCAATATCCCCTTCATGAAAAAGCATAAGAGCGGCAAATATCAGAAATTTTATATCAGTTTCTCTCTGAACACGACAAAAATGGCTTCAAGTTGGTCTCCGGAAAGCAAGGCACTACCATCGTACCGGCCTAACTATAGCTGGGATATGGCTGGTGGTCTCAATGCAGTCTCAGAATTTCGTAATGAGATGGAACAGAGGACTCAAGAACCTTTGGATCTATCTCACAAAGCCTTAATTATACCTGAAGAGGGATCCAGGAAAAGAGCTTTGTTGGAAAAACGAATGACGGAGCCATCAAAGACACCGAAAGTGGTTAATCCGACAACCGCGTCTAGCGCGAGATTTCAATTGACAAACAGCCGGCACGTTGTTATTGAACCATTCAACGAAAAAACGTACGTTAAAATTAGAGATTATTACCAAGTGAAACATAAAGACTTCTCATTGGCTCCTGGACGAGGGATTAACCTTACTGTTTCGGACTGGGAGATGCTCAAGACAATGATACCGGCCATTGATGAAGCCATCAATGAATTAGATCTATGTATTGGTTAAAAAAAATTTGACAGTGATCTCAACGGTTTTGGAAATGGATAAAAGGGCAGGGGTTCGGTCTTGGAGACCATCTTGCTCAATCAACTCATCGCACGGTATCATCATCGCCATCAGTCTCCATCACCAAATCACCAGAAATATGGCATTCTCTGGGTCTAACTTTAATGCCGAGGAGGAGCGGGTTATGCTGGAGGCCCTCACCAACGACGATCCAATGTGGGGGCAAGTGGCACCGCCGTCTCCACCGGCAGCAGTTCCCGTCCTAGAGTGGGACATGGGTAAGTTATATTACTTTTTTACTTTGGTGTGTATGTTCGGGGAGGAATTCCTCCATGGTATGTTGTGGCTAGCTCCTTTCGAAGCACAAGTTTAGCCACTACCCCTATACGGCTAAAATATCTTACCAATCTTTTCTTGCTTATCACGCAGCTTCGGATGTGGAAGAGGGGATGGAAGAGCAACCGGAGATCATCGATCTCACAGGGGAAGACGAATTCGGTGAGTCTCTCTTCTTTTGTTTTTTGCTATGTATATATATTGAGAGTAAGCTAACATCATTCAAAAGACGTTTGTTCACGATATGTCAGTGTGTAATTTTCTTTTCTTTTTTTTTTTTTTGGTATACACAGATCCCTCCTATGACAACGAAGTCGTCATCGACCTGACTGGATCCGATGACGGTAAGTTGTTTCCTAGTTATTATTTTCTTTTCCTTTGTTAAGAACAAACCAGCAAACATACCATCAAGTCGGTTCACGATAATAAGGTTTTGTCTTTCTTTTGTAGAATCTTGCATGAAAGCCGAGGCGCCTCCACCAAGCCCTGCTTCCTCTCTGGCGTGGAGCGTATCGCCTCTTCCCAGCCCGGAGGCCTCGCCAGATTATTTATTTGATTTATATATTGATGACATATTGGACGATCTTCGTAGGGATAGCGAGATGGGTCTTCAGGGCTGGCTGGCAAGAGTTCAAGCCAGCCCCTTTCTCAGATCTCGCTATCTCTACGAAGATTTCGCAATTATCGATTATTTTGATTTTTTATACATAGAATTACAAACAGCTTGCACTTTAGAAGCACTAAAATCTTATGTAGTAGAATAAAGGCACCCGTTGCACCCTGAGTGAATGTATGTAAATAATGACTTTTAATTATCCCCGCATGCACAGGACCAGAGAACTGAACTTAGGGACATGTGGACACTCGCATTGCAACTTTTGTGTCGGAACTGCAAGTATATCTTACATTGCGTTTCAAGCAAAGTGTAGCTATTCAGCAAAAATTACAGAGATTGTTCCCGCCCGAGCCTGGTGACGCGGAACAGCAACTCATATCAGCAAATACATAGAGCCATCAGCAAAATTGATCTTCCGTCAATTGAATGTCCTATTGTTTGGGTATTTCATTTGCTTTAGATTTGGGCTTTTTATAAACAAAAGCTGATTATATTTGACGCCTACGTTCTCCACTTCAAAGTCTGCATAAGGATTTAATCTTTTACAGTAATCTTGGCAATTTACAAATCCATTTTCTATTATTTTATTGATGTGCGGACATGTGTCTTCTTTTATTTTCACATACGCTGATGGGGGAGGTCTTTCATTGAGCAAATTATACAACTCTCGTACATCTGGTGGTAGGTAATAACCGTCCATTGTTTTATAAAAACTTATTTGTTTAAGCGCAGTTGTTGCGATTGAGCCGCTGTTCAAGAGTCCACTGCAGTTATCACAGTAAGTTTCCACGGCAAGTAGGCCTACAGACTTTCACACCGGAAACGAAAACAACCTCGAGTAATTTTCTCTGGATAAGCTAGGGCATATGTCAACACTTTTCGGATACGCTAGAAGGTTGTTTTCCAACCGTACAATTATTTTAACAGCTGTCCTTGAAAACACACATACGCATTTTCCAGCTTAATCTGCCACATCTTTTAAACGTGCGTAATGGTCTTCGGGTAAGGGTAGAGCTGGAGGAGACGTAGTTCTTTCTACATCTTCGTCATATTCAGTTATTAAGCCAAGTTTTCCTGCATCTTCATCCAAGTCAGATTCTGGGTTGGGATCAGGGTCGTTTGGTGTTCTAAATCGCATCCTTTTGTACCTATCATGTCCGCTGTCACTGTCATAAACAAATACTAAAATCGAGATACCATTTAAGTCTTCACAGTTGATGCAATATTCAAAATTGGTACAGTTATTACATTTGATGCAATTATCGGAACCAGCACAACAATAACAACTGTTGCAATTATTACAATTATCACAATCAATGCAATTTATGCAATCTATACAATTGGTGCAATTTTGGCAAACATCACAGTTTATACAATACTGACAAGTTTCGCATTCGTTGCAAGATTTACAATATTTACATTTTTTACAATCATTACATCGATCGATATGATTAGAATTTAAACAACGTTTAGAATCGCAAGCATCTATCACGTTAACAGATTGACTTGTGTTTTTTTAAAAGTAACAATTGACTTTTTTTGTTTGGCATCTCTGTTTTAGTATAGAGTTAGAGATTTTTTTTCAATTTTTCTGGAAGCCCCATTCTCCATTTGGGAGGGTGGGGATTTTCTTTTCCTTCAAGCCACTACGTCTCCCCGGTCGAATGGGGTGACAAAGATTTTGATGTGAGGGTGATAACCTTTTTTCAATTTTTCCGAGGTGGGAGAGGGCCCGAGAAAGGGGTGAGGAGGGTTGGGTAGGTATACAGGGGAAGAGTTGATCTGGAACTCTCTTCCTATACTACTCCTCCTAGACTAGGCTATGTCAAAGTTGTCAGCTGTTACGGTAACAGTTATTTTAATCTTGTGTTTTCATTAAATTTAGTCATGAGAGACAAATATACATGTACTTGAAACATATTCTTTGGAGTGTAAAAATCATTGCATTTATTTGAATATTTAAATTTCAGCATAATTTATATAGTATCAAAACTCGTAATAAACCTAAGACAAGGCATAATATGACTACACATTCTATTCTTATGGTGAAACAAAAGGCATTCTGCATGTTTCTGACGAGACATTAATTTTCATTCGTTATACCACGAGCACATAGGTGTTTTCAGAAGTGTATTTTCTTATATCAATCTTCAACAATGTAAGTTTCAATAGAAAAGAAAGGTTTTCAAAGGGATCTTTGGTTGAGATGAATTAAAACGTTTCTTTTTACCTGAACTCGAGAACTTTTAACGTATTAAAATCTGTAACTATTTTGTGCTAATTTCAAATGAAAGATTTTACTTTTATTTATGCCAAACAAAATCGTATGCCTATAAGTAAATCAATTAAAATGTTATGTTAGTCTCAAATGCCGCTGGGCTAGGCAAGCAGAGAGCTCTGCAACGATGGGCATCAGCCATCTTGGATGTCGATAGACACCTTTCACTGCCCGGTAAGTCTTGAAGAAGCTGATTACATGTTCAACGTAGATTCTGCATCTCGAATACTTCTCGTTGAAAACACCCGTCATTACACGTTCGTCAGCATCTGCCACGTGGTTGATCTGATCTCGTCGGTATTTGGTCATTACAGGATACCTGTTGGCGTAGCCGTTATCCCCTAAAAGAAATACTTCATTTGGGAAATTCAAATAAAGTCCAGGACCAATGGAAGGCATCAAGCGGTACTAACCGGCATCATTCTGATGTCCAAGGAACCCACTCTAATAATAGCAGATGTTCTTTCTGTTGTCTATGATTACCTGTCAATGTAAGATACAATCCCAAATACAATATTACGATTGGTTTATAAAAGAGTGATATTTACAAGGTGACTCTCACGCTGTTAAATAAATATTGCAATTGAACGAAAACTTGGCATAGACGAAGACAAATAATGATGGACGAAGTGAGCATTGGAAATTGGGGCATTTTGTTTTGTTTAAAACAAAACTTCGTTTCTGACGGTAAAAAGACATTATGATCACACATCGAATAATTCATAAATGTTACCTCATAGAGCAACTGGGATAGTTTTGTTGCTTTCATTAAAGAATAACTTTTTTTCCAAATTGCCATCCATTCATTCATTTCCATGACATCTGGGGCCGTAACTTTGCAATGTTTACTTTTTGCTGATAATATTTCCATATTCATAAGTATCTGTCATGCTAGTTATAACAGCATTGCTTACGTGGACAAGTAAAACGCTAAAGAATTATTGAATTTCCCCAATTCTCCTCTGGGCCCGCCTACGTTGGTTGAACTTGTTTACTAGTTGTTTTGGAGAAGTAGAAGATGTTACAGGCTTCCGGAATAATTCCGGCTTACTTTACATTGCGCTGCAAAGTTAAATGTTTTTAGTCTTGTTAACTTTGGGTTCAGCAAAACCAGCGCCCTCGTTTGGAATGGGAATTTAACAAGATAAAATTACTACACACAACTTGTTGGTATGAACTCAGTTTTTGACGAGAAATGCACACATGATGTGGTTTAAACATGAATGTTCATTTTCGCAAAACTCTTACCTGAGTGCTTATGCAGTGGCATCGAGAATATCCGTTGTAAAAATCCTCTAGGTTTTCTGCCTGTGGACGCTGGATTTCAAGCAGAGTGCCATCGATGGCCCTTACTGCAGTGATACCCCACTCCCCTCTCATGGCAAGCCATTCCTCTGGTGTTGGCCAGGAAATGTTTGACTTAAAATAATACCAAAGTAAAGTTACAATGGAATAAATGTCTCTTGTGATAGCTGCCTCGTTCATGTTGAAAAGCGCAGACAGTACATCATTTGTGGGGTATTGACGAAGCCATATCAATGCCATGAGAATTCTGTTGATGTCTCTGTCCTGGAGCCTGGTTCGTGATAAAAGGCTGTAGGTCACGAGTCATTGTCCATATCGACTCTGGGGTTTCTCCAGTCAGGCGAAATAACCTGGGCAGGTCCCTCACAAGATGATCAAACAAGTTTCTTGGATTCCCTTGAACATCCCCAACCTAATTAGGGAACAAAAGAGTGTGTGCAGTCTTGGGTTGGGTGCAGGTAAATCAAGTATGCTAGAACACAAATATCCGTGAAATAAAACACCAAATGCATTCCAGAGAGATGCAAGCTCAAGATGTATTTTTTTTTTTGTTATATAAAAAAGATGCAAGCTCCTCGTCTATCACACTATCGAATGGTGGAACACTTAACATGAGAAGGAAATTATAGGACAGTGAAACGAAGGCCATCGATGGTGCAAAAACGCGATTCATGTTGCTGGCAAATGTACAAACCACGCCCAAGACTCGGTGCATTAACTTTGTTTAAAATAGCTAAAAAGTAATCTGGTATATACTTAGTTTATAGTATTTTAAATTTAGAATTTAACCTTTCATGCTATTTATTTTTATGATGTCATGTAAATATAAACTTTTTCTTAATTGTAAAACTTATTTTCACGTTCTCCTTGGTGCAAACGTGGTTTCAAGAGCCACGTTTCACAAGCTGTAGTGGTGTTACTTTTGTCCGCTCTGTCACATCTCCACCCGTCACATGAGGGTGCCAGGCACTCTAACCATCATGGCGGAATAAAGCAAGTGACAGTGTAGCTGTGCGTGCGTGTTCCCGAAGCCACATGCTAACATGATGGCAACGGTAAACGACTGAATTGTACATCCAGAACACATTGCTAAGTAATCACTTATCATTCTTACCGGACTTCTGGCGTGATATTTCGTCAGAAATAAGCTGTTTTTCGCCCACCGTTTTGGCATAATCAACCATGTGTGCAGCGTGACTGTACATGTACATGCCACACCGCGTGCGGCAGCAATAAACCCGAAGCAACATAGCGGCACGACTCCATTGTTCCTGCATCCGGTAAGCTGTGTCTTTCCATTTTTATTCGCCTTGTTGGTGACTATAGACAACCGCTATGGCAGAAAACGCGGGCCTACACCCAAGAATGAACTAGGAAGATCCACACCAGACAAACGCAA